AATTACCATATTATTTTTTTATTTTTTTATATACATTTTTGTATAAAATTAATAAGCCAAAATAAGCTACCCAAACCACCCAGGACATTCTATTTCCACACATCATATTACCTCAGCCCACACACTTATGCTATGTTTGGTTGAGGGATTTGAAGAGGGATTTGGAAAGGGAAAGGGAAAAGGTAGGTGAAATATGAAAAAAAATATACTTACATTTCACATAGTTTCACACACCTTTTCCCTTTCTCTTTCCAAATCCCTCCTCAAATCCCCCAACCAAACACAGTATTAATGTTTGAAAAGTTGCTAAGGTCTGTCTAAATTCGAATTATATATTTACTATTTATATTTATTTATATATAATTCAGATTGTTTGGTGCCTTTCTCAAGCCTATCCAAATTTCATTCAAACTTTAAAAGCCACACCAAATTTAAAAATATTACATTTTCTTTTATATGTCTTCTATACTATATATAGAGCAAATTTGTGTGTCTTAAAAAAAAAAATTCCCCAAAATGCCAAATCGATTTTTTTATGTGAATTCTATTAACTAATTTAATTTTAAAATTTTAAAAAATAATAAATAAATTTCTGCTTACTAATTTCTCATATTTTGAGTTTGAATTTCAAATTTTGATAACTTTCCAAATTTTTTTCTCTCTTTTTAAATTTACTGATTTATTTTCTTAGCACATCCCTCAGGCGTGTACACCGTCTAGTATATATATATAAGGATTTAGGCCTCGTTTGGGAAAAGACTAATTTAGTAATTTTTTGGCTATTTGACTAAAAAGGTAAGTAAGAAAAACTTATATATTTGGAATGACTTTTTGGCTAAAAGTCATTTTGCAAATAAAAGAAAGACATCTCATTTGACCTACTAAATTGTATAAAAACTTATATTATTTCCAAAATGAATGTATTAATTATAAAATAGGACAAATTACACTAACAGTCCTTACAATTTGGGGTTTGTATCATTTTGGTCCTTAACTTTTCAATTGTGACACATTTGAACCTGAATTTTAAATTTTGTTCCAAATAAGAACAATTGAAGATATCATTGCTTAATTTCAAGGGTAAAATTGTCAATTTGATAAAATATAAACTAATTTGACAAAAATAAATGTCAAAAAAATATTTTTAAATTTTTATAAATTATTTCTATCAACCAAAGATAAAATTATATAAAATTGCTAAATCTTTTAGACATTTATTTATTTATTTATTTTACCAAATTAATTTTTGATTATGTGTCTGGATGATGATCATGTAATGGGTGGTTCTTAGGATTTTAATGTGTAATCAATATATTTAATATATGAATTATTTGTAGTTTTGAATTTTTTGATTTAATGGATTGATTTAATAATGATATCAAAGTTGTCATTATATTTGACTTTTGAAAAAATAGAAATTAATTTAATGAAAATAAAAATAATCACCCATTACATGATCATCATCTAAACACCAAAAAAAAAATTAATTTGATAAAAATAAAAATAAATATCTAACAGATTTATCAATTTTACATAGGGGTAATTTTATCTTTAATAGGTAGAAATAATTTTTAAAATTTTTTTAAAAAAATTTATCATTTATTTTTGTCAAATTAATTTATATTTTATCAAATTGACGATTTTGCTCTTGAAATTAAGCAATGATATCTTCAATTGTTCTTATTTGGAACAAAATTTAAAATTCAGGTTCAAATGTGTCACAATTGAAAAGTTAAGGACCAAAATGATACAAACCCCAAATTGTAAGGACTGTTAGTGTAATTTGTCCTATTTTATAATTAATACATTCATTTTGGAAATAATATAAGTTTTTATACAATTTAGTAGGTCAAATGAGATGTCTTTCTTTTATTTGCAAAATGACTTTTAGCCAAAAAGTCATTCCAAATATATAAGTTTTTCTTACTTACCTTTTTAGTCAAATAGCCAAAAAATTACTAAATTAGTCTTTTCCCAAACGAGGCCTAAATCCTTATATATATATACTAGACGGTGTACACGCCTGAGGGATGTGCTAAGAAAATAAATCAGTAAATTTAAAAAGAGAGAAAAAAATTTGGAAAGTTATCAAAATTTGAAATTCAAACTCAAAATATGAGAAATTAGTAAGCAGAAATTTATTTATTATTTTTTAAAATTTTAAAATTAAATTAGTTAATAGAATTCACATAAAAAAATCGATTTGGCATTTTGGGGAATTTTTTTTTTTAAGACACACAAATTTGCTCTATATATAGTATAGAAGACATATAAAAGAAAATGTAATATTTTTAAATTTGGTGTGGCTTTTAAAGTTTGAATGAAATTTGGATAGGCTTGAGAAAGACACCAAACAATCTGAATTATATATAAATAAATATAAATAGTAAATATATAATTCGAATTTAGACAGACCTGAGCAACTTTTAACACACTTACGCTGTGTTTGGTTGGGGGATTTAGGAAGTGAAATGGAAAGGGAAATGGAAATGAAAGGAAAAGGAGAAAGAATTAATAGAATTCCAAATCCCAACTATGTTTGGTTGTGTTGGTTATAAAATAGAATTGATGTCCTAAAAGGTATCCTATTTCTTTATTTATTTCTCACCCCCTTTCTTTTCCCATATATTTTTTATTATAACCAAACATAAATAGGATTACATTTCTCATTCCTTTTCCAAATCCCACCCCAAAAACCCCAACCAAACACAGCATTAGAGTTTGCGAAGAGCAAGTCATGGTAACCAAAACACTTAGTGGATCATATAAGTGTTTATCAGTCCAAATGAGGGAGGATCTTTGCAGTGTAGTAGGGTTGGAAGGTCAGGATGATGGACATGGTATGCTTCCAGAAAAGGAAGCTACTGTGGTGGAAAATTCTATCCAAATTAAGATGAACACGTGTACTGATGGGCTAAAATCTTCTAGGGCTGAGATGGCTCACAAAGTAGCAAAGGTGGCACAAGTTTTACCTGTTGATTGTTGTACATCGGTAGTGGAAGAGATGGCGGCGTGGGCTTGGGAAGTCGTATGGTGGTTAATGCACGTGAAGGAATCAACCAACAAATTTTGAATGCTGAACAGCTAATTAATGAAGTTAGTAAGGAAGAAGAGGAAGCTGTTAATGGGTACGTGAGAAGCCTTAGTGGAGATGGGCCTGACAAAGGTAGAATATAATTGGAAGTTAAATTGGTTGGGTTATCAAATGGGCCTATTGAAAGTAGAAGTAAGTCCATCAGAATGGGCTTGGATAACTCAATGTTTTTGGGCCAAGACATCGGGGTTGATTCA